ACCTCAGCTTGCCCAAAGTAGCCTGAGATGTGGTCAATTTTGTGCATAAAAAAAAAATCCCTAGATAAAGAGCCAATCACAACACACTTTCGGGTTCCTTCCTCCTTTCAGGAGCTTTCTTTTTAATAAACTTTCTTCCTACTTACCTTCCGTGTCTTCAAGCCCATTCTTTGGCATCGTGAGGAAAAAAACTTGATTTATGCATGCATTCTGTAGCAAGACCACATCCTCCACTTTTTTTTTTGAATTGCAATCTTAGTTTGGTCTCCCACCATAACAGAAGTCAAACTAAAAATAATACAAAGCTAATGGACAAAATATCCAAACACTTAGAAATTAAATCACACACTTCTAAGTAATCAGAGTTGAAGTCTCAAGAGAAATGTAAAATAAATCATATTGAACTGAATGAAGTAAAACATAACACACTAAAAAATTTGTGTGACACAGCTAAAGTAGCACCCATAGGGAAAGTTATAGCATCCATTAAAATCCATCCATTGGAAAAGAGGGTAAATTTTTCTAATCCAAGCTCCCACACCAATGACCTAAAAAAAGAGCAAAATAAAACAAAAGCACGCAGAAAGAAGGAAATAACAAAGTGTAGAAAGTTATGAAATTGAAAGCAGTACGTCAACAGAGAAAATCAAACAGTTCTTTTTAGAAGATTAACAAAAAGACTAACAAAGGAAAAAAGAGCAAAGGGAATATTTTAATATCAGGAATGAAACAGGGTAATTCAGACCCTGCATATATTAAAAATAAGGAAATAATATGACCAACTCTCCACATATATAAATTTGATGTTAGGCCAATTTTTCAAATGCAAGTTACCATAATGCACCTTATATTAAATAGATAATTTGAATAGCACTATAAATATTAAGTAATTTTAATTTGCAACTCAAATTTCCCCAAAGAAACTGCAAGCCCAGGTTAAAACACTTAAAGCATTAATTTGCATAGTATTCTTCAGAAAATATAGGAAGAACGAACACTTGCCTATTCATTTTATGAAAGTAGTATTTGGAATGAAAAACTATTTTTCAAATTTTTATTAGCACATTTGCAGTATATGATGATTACATTCGTTCTGTGGGGGGGTTGGTTCGTGTACAGAATACAATTTCATTCTTTTTACTTCCCCTTCCCCTTCTATCCCATCTTTCAGTCTCCTCCCCATTTGCAAAAGATCCAGCTTGAGGAGGAAAAACTTTACTTCTTTTGTTCAGTGTATGAGGGCTGATACAAGATAAAAAGAAAATCAGCAGAAACTGTACTGTCTACCTAGAATGTACCAATAAATTAAATAAAAAAAACCAGAAAATCAGCATAGAATTCAGCACCGCTACTAACCAACAAGGCCTAATTAACTTTTTTTTTAATAGAAAACTTCTCTAAGACTTACTCGTATGTATGCTGGAGCTAACAAAAGTGGCTAGTTTGCCAAATGATTACTGCGTGAGGTTTATATACCTGAATAGGGACAAAGGCGGGGAGAAAAGTTTTTATGGGAAGAACAAATAGATTTCTTCAGGGCAGACAGTGAATTTTGGAGAGAACAGTACATAAGGGATTGTGATTAATTTAGTCAGTGTGAGTTGTATTGCAGTCTTCTTCATGCTATGGAATTCCCCTGAAGAAATTTATGGGAGCCTCATTTCCCAGAAGTTGCTTCTCTTAGTTAAGGAAGGCTCTCAGCAGGCATTGTTCTACAGTTAACTTTGGGGCTCTGAGTGTGTGCCCTGTACTAGGACTATCCTGATGTCCAAATCAGACAAGGTCAGTACAAACATACACCACACAAAAATTACTTAAAATGAAGCAAATAACTAAACTTAAGACCTAACACTGTAAAACTCTCAGAAGAAAACACTGGACTTGGCAATAATTTCTTGTTGAGGACATCAGAAGCACAGGCAACACAGGAAAAAATAAGCACACTGAACTCACTGAAGCTAAAGAGCTTTGTGTATCATGGGACACTATCAACAGAAGGAAAGGCAAACCCAAGTGTGATAGAGAATATTTGTAGATCACATGCAAAGAATTTCTAAAATTCAACAACCACCATCAAAAAACCCAAATAGCTCAGCTAAAAAATAGGGAAAGAGCCAGGTGCAGTGGGACATATCTGTAACCCCTGCCACTTGGTGAGGCAGGAGGGTTCCAAGTCCAGGCCAGCCTGGCAACACAGTCACAGCTCATCTCATAGATCAGTGAATAAAAAAATAAAAGAGACGGCCGGGTGTAGCGGCGCTTGCCTGTAATCCCAGCACTTGGGAGGCTGAGGCAGGAGGATCGCTGTGAGTTTGAGACCAGACGGGGCTACATGGTGAGTTCCAGGTCAGTCTCAAATACACATGAGACCCTGTCTCAAAAAAAA